TGCCCTGGTCTTCCCTGCATTATGGAGGGAGTATAGGCATCGGACGAAGATGTCTGGGCCGAGCGTAAACATTGGGCGGTCGACATCTATATGTCGGTATCGGGAACCCGTCGAAACTGAGGTGGCAGTCGACATTGACGCATGTCCTGAAGTGTCCTGACGACATCGGTGAAAGTGCAAACTCCGAAACGTGACGCGAAGTCTGAGGGGACACACAACAGAGTTCAAGGAAATAAAATCCGTAGAAACAAAGTCCTTTCAATTAACAAAATAAACAAAAAGAAAAAAACCAGGAACAGGCCTAGAGCCCATTTTTTTTACCGACCGAAGCAGAGAAGATCCTACTAGTGCGGCGGTCAGAAGAGAACTGGCGGGATTGTCGTGCCCCTCCCTTAGTTATGCACAGTGGGGCTGGCACGTGACGGGGGAGCGGGCGCGAAAATCCCTTTCGCTTTCAAGAGGAACCGATCGAGGTAGGCGCAGGTGCACTATATCCCAGAGGTGTGAATGCAGAGAGACCATGAAGAAGATTCTTTGTTTGCTGACTACAATGTCAATGTTGTCAGACCTTCCTGAGGATGCCCTCAGGAAGTACAGAATTCATACAGTTTGGAACTGGAGCCATAAGCTTTCCACTCCGCCCTGTTATGTAGCAAGCAGTTCTTATAATGGTTTGGCATATTGACATAAACCTGTCTCAAGCACTAAAGGAACCTGCTAAAAAGAAACTGCTCAGCAGAGCTACTACCCATCCCCCCCTCTTTTAAATGGAAGAAGAGGAAGAGGAAGAAGAGGAAGAGGAAGAAGAGGAGGAGATTGGATTTATACCCCGCCCTTCACTATCCGAAGGAGTCTCAACCTCCTTTCCCTCCCCCTCCCCACAACAGACACCCTGTGAGGTAGGTGGGGCTGAGAGCTCTTTCAAGAACTGCTCTTTCCAGAACAGCTCTGAGACAACTGTGACTGACCCAAGGTCACACCAGCAGCTGCACGTGGAGGAGTCAAACCTGGTTCTCCCAGATTAGCATCTGCACTCCTAACCACTGCACCAAACTGGCTCTCAAGAGGCTCAGGACTGTAGCTCTTACAGAATATATGCAGTTCTCATCCTGGCTGCCTCTCCACACTGGATCTGTGCAACCTTAAACCACTCACGCAGAAGTAGCCAGGTAAATTTGCTTAGGACCCAGAAATTAGATACCAAGGCTGCTAGTTACAGTATCCTTCCCTGTTCTGTATATTTACTGTATGGTAGACTGCAAATAAGGTGACCAAAACAAAGATAGCTGAAGGTAGCCTGTTGAAATATCTGTATAAGAAGCATTCAAAAGCCATTCTGAAAACATTGCTTGGGGCTAGACAAACCCGTCCTTCGATAAATTGATCTATGTATACAAAACATACCCTGTGGCAGTGCCCCAGTTCTGGAGTAACCTCCCCAAGGAGGTCCAGGTGGCATCTTTATTCAATGGATTCCAGAACTAATGATTTCTTGTTGTTTAGCTTTTTCACTGCTTGACCTTTTAGCTTTTGTTTCATGATTTGGGAACACAGCTACACTTGTTTTAATCTATTTTGTGAACCAGAGGTTGACATAAAATTTAACAACCACTACTAAAAAAAATACTGCAGATTAACAGTTTTTGTTTTTTTTTACCTTGTGCGGTGGTTCTTTGTGAAAATAGGTGATCTCACCATTATCTGGCCCCACCAAAGCCAAAAGATGTTGGATCTTCTTCCTGTCCTCGAGCTCCCTGGAATCCATTGAAAGATTACTCATTTCTGTTCCCAAATATATCAAGTCAGTATAACACGTACCCTTTCTTTAATCCCCGGTATTCAAAGCCAAATTTACCTGTGAGAAAACTGAGTCAGATTCCCTGCCTGTGTATAACAGGGAAAAATTCTGTCCTGTGGAATCTGACTAGCTCACAAGATTTATTTTCTTGCACAGGTATACTGCCCTAGGAGGCAATATAACAGTGCAAACCTAAACAGAGTTACACCCTTCTAAGCCCATTCAATGGATTTAAAAGGGTGTATAAGTACTTAAGATTGCTCTGTAAGTGACCCAATACAAAGCCAAGGTTCCTCCTCTAATATATGTTAGAGGGAGTTTGTTACAACCCAAGAACAACTGTGAACAATCAGGGTAGCTTCCAATTATTTCATTCGTACCCCACTTTTCTTTTCAATGGGGACTCAAAAGAGTCTGCATCATTCACCTCCCCTCTATTTTAGCCTCGCAACAACCCTGTGAGGTAGGTCAGGCTGAGTATGTGTGACTGGCCCAAGGTCACTCAGCAAGTTTCCATGGTAGAGGGGGGATTTGAACCTGGGTCTCCCAGACTATAAGCAGATCAAATCCGTCAATCCTAAAAGAAATCAACCCGGACTGTTCCCTGGAAGGCTAGATAATGAAACTGAAGCTCAAATACTTTGGCCACCAAATGAAAAGGGAGCACTCACTGGAGAAGACCCTGATGCTGGGAAAGATTGAAGGTCAAAGAAGACGGGGACGGCAAAGGATGAGATGGTTAGACAGTGTCATAGATGCAACGAACATGAAATTAAGCAAACTTCAGAGGACAGTGGAAGACAGGAAGGCCTGGCGTGATCTGGTCCATGGGGTCGCGAAGAGTCGGACTCGACGGTGCGACTGAACAACAACAACTCCCAGATCCTAGCCTGATGCTAACCACTATACCACATTAGCTTTTACAGATGCAAGTCTTGCCAGTAGGGTCACATGTATCCTTAGAATGGGTTAACGTGAACTGGTTACTGTGCTAAGACACAAATACAGCAGAAAAGGTCTGGATCTTCTCCCCCTGAACACATCTCAACACAAATACAACAGAAAAGGTCTGGATCTGGATCTTCTCCCCCTGAACACATCTCAGCACTGAAGATGATGGGGCACTTAATCATTCTGATTATTCACATTTTAATAAGCCACTGACTTGGGACAGTGAATTGTATTGATGGGGTAAGAAAAGCATATGAAAGATGGTTGTGGAAGAATTGAGTAAACTGTACTAAAGAAACTGATGCAGGATTCTGCATAGAGGCTTAAGGGTGGTTGGAGAATTCACACCCTGGAGAGGTGGTATAAAATTTTCTAAATAAACAAACAATAACATTGGGTTAAAAAGCATAAAATCCTAATCCAAAGAGGGGAGCAAGGACGAACTCTTTTTAGAACTGCATTGTTAAACTTGAACCTATCCCCCCCCCCCCCCGATTGCGTGGGCGGGAGGCCCCCCTGT